TAAAACTTTCGTTAACTCTACCCTCCCTTATATTACTGTATTGCCTGATGATTAATTAATCAAAAACGTTCGTTTGCCTAACTTGACTTCCCGAATGCTTACATGGGTATCATCGCTGAACTTAAAGAATGAAACAGTTGAAAATAAACGTTTGAATAGAGAGATTAAGGCTGAGTGTACTGTAGCGAACGTCCAACGATGCTGTCTCCCCCTCTTCGTGGTTTAAGACCCGCTTCCCCAAAATAATGAATCGTCACAGACGGCTGTTTCCCACTCGCTGAGCTTAGGACCCTTGGCCGACATCGTCGCACGCATATACGTGCGCACACACGCGTGTCCAAACGAGACGTGGCTGTCCAAGGACCATTTGAACATGCCACCCCTCAGCCAACGCAGTAGGGGCCTCTATACGCGGCACCGCCCCGGGCGATACAACACACCAATAGTACACCACTTGAACTCGCTCTTCAATCATGTAAAAGCAACTGTCATCTCTCTCACACAATCAGGCACTCTCGGGCACGACTGGACGCAGAGGAATGAATTCCTGATGGACATGGCAAACAGGAAGATGGCCTCCACGTTAGTCGACCGGCTGCTTGCCCATTGTGCCAACATTCGGCAGGCATAGAAACAGTTGTCGGGGGACTGACGGGAAAGTGTCCATACATCTGGCGAATAATTTGTCATGTAAGGGGACTGGAGTAGAGCGATCCGACGATCTGATAAAATTTCGAAGGTCAGTCGGCATTGAGCAGGTTTTCTTGCCGCCAGTTCTGGGTGGCTAGTTTTTTACGATTGAAGACACTAGAATAACCAAACGTAAACAAACTAACTCGATTAGCACTCGAGACCCACCTCCATCGAACCTAGTGAAACAGGCTTGTAAAGAGTATGCGGCAGTCAAGTTGGACGAGTGGAGAAGGAGCAGGTTTCCGACAACAGTATCTTAAATAATTTTGAATGATACCTAGATGGTTTAATTGTAGTAAATTATGTTCACTAGCACCTATTCATTTACGCTTTCCGGTGCACAATTTGAGCACACTACAGCCAAAATTAGTAGACAAAGTTGTTTAGTACTCAGTACTTGCTGAATTATACGTTTTGCATCGTTCTCACTAAGTCTTTACTAATGATACCTATGTATACGGTACGGCAACTTCCAAACATGACTGTCCGAGATTACAGAAACAACTTAATGACGCACAGGTAGTTACTTTGGTAATTGGATTAATTACGACCACTCTGTACAGTCTAATCGAAGAAAGCGGAAGAGGCAACAACTTACGTTTCAGCCATAGTGAAAAAAAAACAATAATAGAAATCAGATATTGGGCTGACTTTACAAAGATACGTTAAAGCTCTGAATAACACTCTAGATGGGAATGCGCATCGAAAATGGCGCTTTAACTACTGCCCCATAATCGTAAACAAAAGCAAAACCGACTATTACGAAGACGCTGAAATTACTCTGTTTATGAAGAAAGTAATTTTGAGAAATTTTTGTCTGCAGTGTTTTCATCTTCATTAAAAACTAAGTCAACTTAATAAATGGTCACTAATATAATAAAAGGTATTGTTATTTCCGGCTAACAAATTTTGAGATTCTCCACGTTCATCTCCGATAACATCCTGTCTGACTTACATACGATTGCCCCCTCTTCCGGAAGGTGTCCCTTTCTTCTGTTCCGCGTGCCCATCGAATCACTTCCATAAGAATGCTGGTCCCCTTCCCCTATTGGCCCATTTTCACTCGAATGCACGTATGCCAAAAACACTCACGACTGCAAAAGTGCCACTTGAATAAGCCATGCTTCCCCCTTTGGCCCAACGCAAGAAGGCGGACTAGAGCCGCAGCTGTTGTGGCTGGCTTGAACTGAACACTCTTGACCCAGTTTTCCTTTGCGTGTAATATAGCCGCGACT